GACCCCGGCAGGAGGAAAGTGGGGGGCGTGCGGGGCACAGGGGGGCCGTGTTTGGCATGGGGATTAGCAAGCTCCCAGAGCGATGGTGGTCTCCCCCCTCCCCACCGGACATGCAGGCAAATATTTGTGCCCAGACTTCGCAGGACGGCGAGAAGGAATTTCATTCTTGCGCCCACCTGCGGCTCAGCCGCCTGGCATTAACCCCTTCGCCGCCCTGCGGGATGGAAGGAGAGGGGCAAGGTGCCCTCCCGGCACCCCCCGTACCCCCCATCGGGGTGGGGAGCTCGGCCGCGGAGCAGGGGAAGGGGGCACGGCAGGATCGCCCTAGATGCCAGTGGGGCCACTGGCACAAGGTGCCCTGGCGCAAGGCAGCGGCTGGAGGGTTTGCCCCATGGGCATCCTCCGGCCAGCACTGGGGGCTTCATGCCAGGGTGCCGGGCAGTGTGCGGCCTGCCGGGAATTGGGAAAGGCAGGGGAAACCCTGCCAGCCTTCACCCCCGAGCTGTGGCACCCCGGCCAAGGTACCCCTTCGCCCAGCAGCGCCGTGGTGCCTTGCTGTGACGGGCTGCCAGGGAGCGGTGCAGGGTGCGGAGGGTGTGGGGAGCGGGATTTGCCCACGGATGTTTATTGACAATTTGCAAATGTAAAAAAAGGCCGGTTGGGGGCAGGGGGCACCCAGCTCCTGGGGGCTGCCTGCATTTGGGGAGAAGGCCAGCCTGGGTAAAGGGTCCCCTGCTGCCTGGCACCCCCAGAGCCCTGCTGTGCTCCTTTCCCTGGCCCCGGGGCCAGCTGGGCCCTAAGCAAATGGGGCTGTTTGCTCACGCCAGGATTAGCCGCTCTCTTTGTTCCTTTGACTTTCTCCTCCCTTTATGCCGGACCCTTTTATGGGGGCTTCAAAGGGGGCTTGGACCCCCCCTCCCCATCCCTGGAAGCCCAGGTTTGCTTCCCATGCCCCCCCTGCCTTGTGCCGACATCCCAGGGGTGACCACCGGGCACATCTGGGTGGCCTGCAGGGACAGCAGCTGTGCCACCCGCCCGTGGTCACCCCCCGTCCCCCGTCCCCCCTGCCGCCTGGCACCTCCGGCTGCCCTCAGCACCTTGGCGAAGTGGGTGCGAACGGCTGCCCCCCCGCAGTGGGATTCCCGACACTTTGCACCCTGTAAGGAGAG